AAAAAAAGCAGAATTACCCAAACGGTAAGTGATTCAGGATCCAACCCAGTGTTGATATTGAAGTTCATGCACCAAACAACAGTGTAATGATGTCCATCTTCTAAAACTCAGCCTGAGGTTAATCTTCTAACGTCTCCGATTATGGGAGCTGCTCCCATATTCCACTGGGTTCTTTTCCTCATGCGGTCTCCTTTCCAAGGTGGAGAAATTCACACAACTTACCTAGAGCATTGGGAGATTTAGTGTAAGAATGTGCACAGAAACAAGGGAAATGTAAGTAGAGTCTGCGGAAGCTGAGAAAGATTGAACAACTGGACCTCATCTTGTCTTGCGTTAGAACTTCACAGACGGCCATTCTAAGCATGACCATAACTAGGATATTCTCTTTTCTCTGATTTTCTGATTCTTTAAGCTTATGGTATTGCTATCAACCGCCAACTGCAGAGAAAAAGAGAGAGAGATGATGATGATGATGATGATAGATAGATAGATAGATAGATAGATAGATAGATAGATAGATAGATAGATAGATGGATAATAGATAGACAGACCTAGTTCAAGATCCTCAAAAGAGGAAATCTGATTGACCGCCAACCACCATTATCTCTGTGTGGGTGGCAGATTGCCTGCCTCTGAGCCCAGTCTAGTCTGGTATCTGTAGCCATGGGGGCAGATGAGTATGATGCCTCTATGCCCATCAATGAACTGTCTAGGTTTGCTTCCTTCGCCGGGCTATGAGGTCGAGGAAAGAGCTGTGGGAGTGGCAGGTACCATGATTGGACTGTCCTGGCCATTACCTCAGCTATATTTTATTTTAACCATCTTTTATATTCACTGTCTATCCTATGTCCTAAGCACGTTTAGGTCAAAGGCGGTTCTGTCTTCCCCTCACTCTGATTCTGCCCTTTTCACCTTTCCCCATTCATATCTCAGAACCAAGAGTATAGTGCAGAGGCCTTGCTGACATCTAATAAGCATGAAGTAATGAATCAAAAAACCCACAGCCACCTGCTCCCTGGGTCTTAAGGGAAAATATAGGGCTTGAGCTGAATATGTGGTCATTCCCTTTCCTATTAATTTCCCAAGCTCCTCTGTGGGTTGTGCTCTCTGCTCCACTGGGGTGACACAAACATGACAGATGGTACTCTCATGCCCAAGGATTTAATTCTGAAACACACTCAGGGCTATATTTTTTGCTATAAAACTCTTATAAATGACTCTTAGGCATTTTGGGCAGGAATATTGCGACACAAGAAGGATAAATGCCATTCCATACATGTAAACAGTAGAAACTTGTGGATAATAAGAGTATAGATTCATACATATCAGTGAATCATAAATACATACTTCATTTGGAGATTTTGAGATAAGTATACAGCATCAATAAATAGAGTTTCTGGCTTTTTATAAAATAAAGTTTTTTATCTGATGGGAGAATATATATTTAAATTGAAGAATTTTATATTTTCATGGATCAAAATCATTTTAATAACTTAAAAATTAAACTGTTATGATAATCTAAGGAAAATGATTATAGCTATTAAAGGACTAAACAAGTATTTATGGATTTATCAGTAAATTGATGAATACAGAGAAACCTGGAAAAAAATATCAACGTTAAAATAGCATACAACCTAGGTTGGAAAGAAAATAAATGACTAGATATAGAGAAGATCAAGAATGTGATGCTTATAACACTAGAAATGCAATCAGTCTTCAGTAGACTAGTTTTGTGGAAATCGTGTATCTTTAAACAGTAGAGAAAGAATTTTAACCTCTTTTGTTTTCCTTCCATATTTTTAAAAGTTTTTTTCTTGTTACAAATGATACATATTCATCATAGAACATATAGATCTATGTCTAAAAAAGATTAAAAGACCATCTATAATCATCTTTAGTCCAGAAATATACTTAGATCATAATTATAACCTTTTTTTTACTTAATAACATATCATAAAGATCACTCAATGAAACTATAAATTCTTCTACAATATTTTAAAAATCCATATGAAAATCAAAGATGCTGTCAAACTAAACAAACCCTGGATCATCTAGTCTGACCTTTTTCAGCAATGTTTTAATAATCTCTTTAGATAATCGGAGCCCTTTCCTTGTCCACTTCAGTGACTGGGAGATCATCAATTTGCTGGGAAATCCTTTCAATTGCTTGAATGCTCTAATGATAACAAAGTCCTTCCCCATCCTGAATTTTGTCTACCTCCTTTAACTTCTCTCCAGAAGAGCTCTGGGCTTGGAATTCATTTCAAATTATTTCCATCCTTTAGCACCATAACCATAACTAACTCCATGTTACCTTACCATACAAACTTTATCTGTGAAATCAGGATAATAATATTTACCCTATGTTCCTCACAGGATTGCTTAAAGATTCAAGTTAGAACATATTTGTGAAAATGGCAATACATCTAAAGCATATATGGATAGTAAACATATCTCCTTCTCCACATTTATTTGAAAATTATCATCTGCATCCCAAGTCCATTCTCCAAGGCAAACTGCCAAAGTCTCTCCATAATCTCTTATAAATTATAAGATCCAGAATCACTGTATCGTCAACTCCTCTGGATACGTGCCAACTTGTGAGTGTCTCCTGTAAAAAGTGCCACAATGAACGAAACAGGATGATCCTGATGTGGCTGAATGAGTGGAAAATAAAATAGGATTGTTCTGCCATTGATCTGCATGGCAGTCCACTACTGTGCATGCTGAGACACAAGAGTTTTTATTATGACTACCGTCTAGGTCATTTACAAAGGGCTAACTGAACTGCAGAATTTGAGAAATGTCTTTGAAAAAAAATCTTTTAAAAGTGGCAAAAGGATCAAAAGGATAAATGTAGAAAAATACATCCTAATGATTTATTTTCTCCTAATCACATAACTGATTGGATATAAGAGGTGTCTCCCTAATTATCCAGCCTTGCTCTTCATTAACTGAAGGAAAGAAGGCTTGAATTATTACCTAAAATGAAGTGTAAGATTTATCTGTAACTTCAAGTTATCCATGATTTTATTCACACTGTCTTTCCAGTGATACAAAGAGCTATAATGAGCCTCAAAAATAATAAGTAGAAAATATAGCAACCCGCTTGTTTTTTATCAGTCACTTCTTCTTTTCTAAAGGCAATTCTGAGCAAGTACAAATTATTGGCAACTTCTCTGAACATATCATGATCTGTCCTAGAATAATGTGTAAAATAACTATTTACCAAGTTGGTCAGATGATTACATGAATTGTTAGCTCTTCTGTGTGAAGGCGGGCAGGAATCAGAATCGGCTCTATTAACACTTCACTTTCCTTTGAGTTGAATAGTTTGTATAGAAAGGTAATCTCAAAAAGATAAGAAGGAGAGCAGTCATCCAGTCTCCCAGCTCTGTTTGCTGTCTACCTTTAGAACCTAAAGCCAGTCATTTTATCATTCTCTGACTCTATTTCTCCACCTGGAAAATCTGGAAAGTCTTACCTAAGACTCCTCTCTTTCTAAGACTATTGAGACCCTTAAAGGAAATGCACTCCACATATTCAAAGATTTATGAGAGTGTTATTTTTTTTTAACTCCCTACCTAAAGAAAGGGAATGGATTGGAGTTGTTAAAGTAATAAGGATATGCCATTTGAGGTTGGATTGTGGTTGGCAGAAACCAACAGCCAAATGTGGTTTTGTTGTGCATTTCTTTTGTCAATTTCAGCTGATTTCAGGTTGACCCATTCTGAAAATAAGGCTTCATTTCAGAATTCCTGGAATGTGCCCAAATAGGAAAAGCAAGCAGGTAGTCTCTTTGGTGATAATAAATTTCAAGAACTAACTATTGTTTCCTGTGATTTTGCAAAAAATATGTTATGATTTGGGCTGGAACCAGAATATCAAATACCAAAGAGTATACGAAGGGATAACATTAGAAAAAAATTAAGTCCAAAATCAAAATAGAGCTCAGTGATTTCAGAAGTAATGGCTTCTTCTCAAGAATAACTGTCATTAAAATTTCCATAAGCATCAGTGAAAATGATTTTGGGGGAAAGACTAAGGGAGGGTCTGTTTTAGAAAACACAGGGAAACTTTATTTTACCCCTAATTTTCCCAGCCAAGTTTGTAAGATCCCAGAAGATTTTTCTTGGGTTCTTTCTCTGCTGAGGGGACAAAGATGTATCTCTATTGACATATACAGATTAAAATTTTTAATCCGAGAAACTTTATCAGCAGAGTCTGACCAGTCTTCTTTGGCTAGCGAATCAGCCGTCTCAGCCTTGAGACTGTCAGTGGAGAAAAGACCAAAAAATAATAAAGAGAGGAAGCACGCAGGCGTCATCGGAGCCTTCCGATACAACACACCGAGCCCACGCAGCACGAGAACTGGTCTGGAGTCATTGTTCCATGTTCTCGGGATGCAGAAGAGTCTGACTTGCATTAGGAACCTCTGCATTCAATAAACAAAAATAGGGATAATAATGACCAAAGCGCTATTTGGAACAGAAAACAGACTCAAGCAATGAGTGTTTTCCACTGAATTCATTCAAGATTTTATTACTTGAGCTCTCACTTGCGGTATTAGGCTCAGTTTGCTTAATTTCAGTGGCCTGAGTTATGCAAAACAATAAGAGCCTGGGTGCGTGTGTGTGTGTGTGTGTGTGTGTCCAGAAGGACGTATCACACACAGGCTTTGTACATTCTTTACATTGCAAAACCCATCAACAAAAGGAGGAAGAAGATCTGAGGGGAATGAGTGGTTTTTGCGGGTTTAGGGGATGGAGAATTTCTCTACATAAACAAGAAGGTTTGGATTGGAAGTCTGCTAAAAAAAATGTTACAGCTGACCACAAGGTTGTAAATCCACAGACTGGAAGGAGGAAAAGAGAAACATTGCAAGCGACTGAAGTGTGTGTGGCTGCACTGTTTGTGGCTTAGATGAGAAACAAGCGCTGAGTGAAACCGAGAAGGGGGGGTGGCTGGTGTGATTTGTTTGGTGTTCAGAGCCAATAGAAATCCCAGACTGTGATAATATCCCCATGCAGCGCCGAGAGGAGTCAGAGCTAAGTCGCGGGCTCCTTTCACATCTGCAAGGGCTGCCAGCCCGGGCTGCACACTCGGCCCGCGTTTCTTATGGGCGGCTGCTGGAGGCCGGCTGCGGTCCAGCTGAGCGCGGCAGCGGGAGACCAAACTTAGACCCCGCTGTGGACTCTACCAGCCAGAGAAAGAGAGAAGGGACCCGAGGAGGAGGCTTCCATCACGTCATTGCAGGTATGCAGCTTGTCACCACTAATCGGACGCAGACACGGTGTCTGATTTCTACCTTCACCAGGCACTTAAAAGTAATTGACATTGTTCCCTTGCCGGTCAGAATAGAAGGCACGGAGTGAACCTCTAGCCTGATTCACCCTAGATAATTAAAGCTGTTAGCGTGCGTTCTGGGGCCACAAGGTTTATTCACCTATTGGATTACCCGTGGGTGTAAAGCGAGGACCTTCAAACTTGACCGTGATCTCTTTTTTTAAAATAACATCAATACCTGCCTGTTGTCAGGCAGCCCATTTATTCGTCTTGGCCATCTTTAGTATCATTATGATGTATAGCAAGTCAAACACCATCTGATTGTTAGAAAGCAGTCTTTGAACATTCCCATCTACCCATCAGGTTAATATCCTCCCCAGAGGAATAGGAACCACGGTGGACTGGGGCATGGTTTTGATTTTTAAAGCATATGGCCAAAGAGGACTAAACTCATGAGTGAAATATCACTGTGTCACTATTCCATAGTTGAAGGAGAAAAAGGGAGACGACAGAGAGGTATTTCTAAGTGTGGTTGTCAGGGACTCTTCTTGCTTACCTGATTTATTTTTACGTTGTCTTCCGACTTGAAAATGCATTTGTATTCTGCACCCGCAGGCAGCATGACTTCCAGGACCTCATGTTTGACTACATGAAAACTCATGAATTGAAACTGTGTCATAAATATGATACTTGTAAGGAAATGTCAATTTTTGGTTTGATTTTATTGGATCCTAAAATTGGTAGACTTCTGGCCATTTCTTTCTTTCCTTTTCTTTATTCCTTTTATTTTGAGACACGAGTTTTGTGAGGAAAAAAAAAAATCTGTTTTCTGGGATCTAACCATGTTCGATTTTGAATTTTGAGGATGGTTATGTAACTTGTTTCCCTCTGTTGATTACTTGTGATTAAATTAACAATCCTTAATGAGTTCAGTCTTTCCCTGGAAATGTCAGAGGGGACTGAATGAAGGCTCACGTAAAAGATGAGTCTTGCTTTGGGTGATCTTCAAGTACCGGTGATCAACTGCTCTGAATCCCTATAAAAAGAGCTTTCCCTGCAGTGGAGAACAGACACAGATTGGAATTCTAGTTCAACAAGACAATGGCTGAAGCAGGTGCAGGAGCAATCGAATATGTTATCTTAAGTCTAACTAGCACTCTTCTCAGTGAATTCTTAGTAGATCATATCCAAACCATCCATTGATCATTCACAATCAATTCCCCACTCCGTCGTGCCTGGTTTTCAGGGCAATGCTTATTCCAAGACATGTGCCTGACCAAGGAAGATAAAGAATTTGTAAGAGAGGCATGTGTTTTACATATCGCAATGGAGAATTTACATTGACCTGTATTCTTATCACATGAACATGTTCTTTTGTCATTAAGAGAAATGTGGAGTCATGAAATCTGCCCCTATTTTTGTCTGTTGCCAGATTTGAATGATTTAACCAGGTAATTTTGAAATTGTGTCAAAGAATAGACATGGTAAGTAAATACTATATTTAGCAGAGAGTATTTTAATTTCACAGATGAATGTTTTTCTCCTTTTACGTCGCAAAGGAACCTGATTGTAAAGGATATACCTATTCAAATAAATACAAGTTAATTGACCCAACTAAATTCTATTTGTGGTTAAAAGGGGTAGTTTTGTATCACTATGAACATTTGTCAGTCTTCTATAAATATAATATCTGAAATAAATTTCCCTCCTACCATTCAAATCTAAAGCAATGTTGGGCATTGGTAGTGATTGAGTGGAGGTGAGACTGAATATATACATACACTTTGTACGAACTAAGAGGTGATGGCTTTTCAAAGATAAATATAAACAATGCTTTGATTACTCATTGTTTTGTGCTATCATTCTTCATTGAGAGAGGTAATCAAAAGTTCATTCACTAGGCATCTTAGCCAGCCAGAGCTTTAGATATCCTCAAGTTATAAGTTTGGTAAAGTTTAAACAAGGTACATGCCTTTAAATCTCTTTAAAGTAAACACCTCTTCCTTAGCTCTCCTCTTCTTCTAAAGTAAAGGAGTGGAATTAGACTCCCAGTCTGGGCGCCGAGTTCTTATTGATAGGGAGACGACTGGCCGGCCTGGGTCAAGGACAAACATTAGAGACTTCAGAGACACAGGCACACAGTTGATTAGACCAGCCACGTTTGTCCTCCAGAGTCGCTACAGCAATCACACCAGGTTGCAGGCTTTTTCTCAGTGTCAGGGTCCTTGAAGTATCTAGGAGAAAAGTAAAAAATTATTTCCACTGGGGGACATGTTCTGAGTGTTGAGCTTGAAACCAGTCACACAGAGGACCAATAAATAAGACAAATGGCTTTGAAAGCATGCAGTTATGAATTAGGCCTCTGGTGCCATCTCCCTCTGCGTTTGCTGTGCTGCTTCTCTTCCTCCCACAGAGCCATCGTTCCCTATAAATTAGACACGCTGACCTAGGAATGTGTAGAGTTAATTTTGATCACGTGGCAGGGGAAGATAGGGTCCTCAAACCATTTGTCTAAACGCAGACCACTTCAGAAAATTGGGCAGATATCTTCGATTGGCTAGCTCATCCATAAGACCCAGCCCAGGGTGGAGCACGGATGTGCAGAGCAGAGTCCCAGATCCATGCGGGAGAAAAGGATGAACAGAGAGAGTGTCAAAACAACCAGGGTATGAAGTGACATGGTATAAAGATTGGCATCCTTAAATATAAATCCAGGAGCCCAAGGAATAATGAGTTTATTTCCTCAAATTAGCCTCAAGTATAAACTTCTGGTGAGATTTCCTGAATATTTTAAACAAACTCTCATGTGTACACGTGTACCTCACACACAGGTGTGGGGTGAAAATAAATACATCTGATGAGCTGTTAACATTCCTGTACATATAGACCAGGAGAGGGCAGCATGCAAACTCTGAAAATGGATGCCTTCTCTTGACCAGGGAGAGACTCCAATCCCCAAATGACGAAAAAATGTCTCCCTAATGTTATGCACCCCCCTCCCTTTGGAAAGCAGTATCTAGAGTCTTAATAAGAGATACGTCATTCAGAAAGGTTTGTTTCTATTTTTGCCACCAGAATTGGTGCTGTCTAGCAAAATAAGGAAAGCAGATTTAACAGAGAACTCAATTTCCTTTTCTTTTTAGTTAGCTTCACTCTTTGAAGCTATTCAAACAGTCTTTATCTTTACTCTGTAAGGAGTTGGGTGGCAGAAAGGGAAGCAGAATACAAAGGAAAGAGGGAAAAAAAAGAATGGGGTTTCTTGAGCTGATCTGCAGGGGAAGTGTGTATGAGCTACCTTATCAATAGACCTAGCCTCAAGCATGTCTCAAACGCAAGTTCAGGGCCACAAGGGTACGTTTTGTACAGTGACAATAGTATCCAGATTCCTGGTAAATTTGGTTTCAGAACAGAAGAGCTGGAATAGCTTCCCTTCGTGGTATCCAGAGTCTAAGATATGTGTTAAAAAATAAGAATTATGCATCTGCCTCCTAGAAGCTCAGAGATGGTCAAGTCTAGTCCGTATTAAACCTTATCCAACCTTTTTTAAACTCATGTCTAAAAGCTGTTTCCTTGCACTGTTGTTACCTTCATGAATCAGCCATCTTCTAGGGACAAACTATAAATGTGCACGGAAGAGAGAAATAATCACTCTTAAAGTGGGCTACCTGTGACTGGCAGTCATCATTTCTACTTGATTAATCCTAATTTAGCCAGGTTGGTGATTTTAGCTTCAGGAACACCCTTCTCTCTTTGCCAACTGCCGTATAACTCACTACTAAACATGAAGGCCCTAGGAGAAAGCTCAGAGAGGGGCTTTTAAAACAACGATGTGTGAGAGGCCCAGCGCAAAAGCCTTCTAAGGGAAAAAACACAGGTTACTCTTGAGAGAGGAGAAGGCAGAAGGGACATTGGACCTGGGATGGGTACACTGGGATGAGGGAGGCCATGATATCTGTGTCAAGCAAGACTGATTCTGAAGCTTCTGGAGGGGTGGATCTGGGAGGCTCATGGGGCTGCCCACCAAGGAGCTTGTGTTCATGAGTGAGGCCTTGGAAGCTCTGACTGCTCTTTCTCTCTGGTGCCACTGTACTCTGCTGGGGGATGTGGTGTCCTTGAATCAAAGCAAAGGGTTTTGTCAAGGACAAAGTAAAGATTCCTCAGTGTCTGGGAAGAAAGGGAGGTCACTGTGTGTCTCCCCCCTTCTCAACCAGATTAGCCTCTGCTGCACTCCCATTTACTGTCTGGAACTACACGGTGCCCCCATGCTGGGAAAGCTTGGATGAAAGGGGAAGATTCATCCAGGCTCACTGTGGAACCAAGCACAATGCTGTGATAGTCAGGTGTTAGCAAAGAAGACGAGGAGAAATAAATCCGGGGCAGGGGGCAGGGGGAGGATGGTAAGATTTATCACCCCAAGTCCAAGACCAAGAATCTCCACTGCTGTTCTTCAGTTTTTAATGTTGCGCTTCCCACCTCCCTTCAGGCAGAGAAACTCTGGGTTCCATCTCCCTTTTCTAGATTACTTTCCTATAAAGAAATCTCATGGCTGAGGGGCAAGTCTCTTTGAAGGCACTTACTTACCTGGATGAGAGGGAAAGCAGGGGACATAAGATCAGACTATTCTCGTGGATACAATAACCCTCATAAGAAGACATACTTGAGAGTCTGTTACACTAAGAAAACATTCCTGAATTATGAATGCAAGGGGATTAGAAACAAAGGAAATGCATGACTTATGGAAAAATTCTCTTGAAGGAGAGTTTTTGAAGGACATGACGCCAAGAATACAAAGATTCTCAAACATGACTTTCATGTTACGGATTAGTAGCAGTTCCAAGCTAAAAGTCTCCTCTCCTATAATTTATTTAAGCAGTGAGAGAGGAGAAAGAAAGAGAACACGTCGAGCAGGGGAACAGTTGACTAGCTCATGTGAAATGCTAAGTTGACTTTGTCCAGTACAAACACCGTCTGCATTAAAAATATTATTCAACCTGGCTCTACAGCTGTGACTCTAAAGGCTGGAAGGAAGCTAATCTTATCTACAGAAAACTAGCCGCCCCCTCTGCTTTTATGCAATTATAACACGAACCCTGGATAATGCATTATATTTTCTAATTATAGTAGGAGCGTTTGGGGAAAGTTGATAGATGTATGATATTGTACTTATAGTTAATAAAAATCTGGCAGCTCTATAATGAGATTTCTCT